CCGTGCCTACGTCGGTTAGCTGATGGATCTTCCAGACAGCATAAGCTGCCGAGCTCAACCGCCCTGCTAGAGATCTAATGTGGGGCCCCCATTGCAGCTTGTCGTCTACAGTAATCCCCAAGAATGTGGTCTCCTTTACAAATTCCAGTTTCTGACCATTTAATAATATATCATCGCATACGTTACTTTTAACATTTGGCAAAATAAATCTAATGCATTTCGTCTTTTTATCATTAAGTACTAAGTTGTTTTTTGTGAACCAATTATGAACTTTCATTAAGGCATTATTCACTTCGTCATAGTTATTTGATCGTCTATTTAATTTAAAAATCAAAGATGTGTCATCAGCGAATAATACCTTATGCGGTTCACTTTGGAATAATTCACCTTCACACTCTCCTTCACCTTCACACTCTCCTTCACGTTCACCTTCACCTTCACCTTTACCTTCAACTTCACCTTCTCTTTCTCTTACTCTTTCTCTGACTCTATCTTGATCTCCATCTCCATCCATCTCCATCTATTTCCATCTATCTCTATAATATTTTATATATGTATATATCACCCTCACCCTCACCCTCACCTTCACCCTCACCCTCACCCTCACCCTCACCTTCACCTTCACCTTCACCTTCACCTTCACCTTCACCTTCACCTTCACCTTCACCTTCACCTTCACCTTCACCTTCACCTTCACCTTCACCTTCACCTTCACCTTCACCTTCACCTTCACCCTCTCCATCACACTCACCCTCACCTTCACACTCACACTCACCCTCACCTTCACCTTCACCTTCACCTTTACCTTCACCTACACCTTCACCTTCACACTCAACCTCACACTTACCCTCACCCTCACCTTCACACTCGCCCTCACCTTCACCTTCACACTCTCCTTCACCTTCACACTCTCCTTCACTTTCACATTCTCCTTCACGTTCACCTTCACCTTCACCTTCACCTTCACCTTCACCTTCACCTTCACCTTCACCTTCACCTTCACCTTCACCTTCACCTTCACCTTCACTTTCACTTTCACTTTCACCTTCACCTTCCCTTTCACCTTCACCTTCACTTTCACCTTCACTCCGTCGCAGACCCGCGGAGAGATTGTCGCTTAATAAATGAAAATAAAACTTTCAGGTAAAGAACAATGCATCAACTGGCACAGAAGCAAGCAGATATCAGTAGAAATACACTCAGAAATGATCGGCGCTGGACATTCAGATGGACATCAAGATGCCTGCTTAGGTAATCTTACTAATATTGTCTTACTACGATGTTTGGATGTTTGTTACTCAATCACGCTACAACGGCTGGACTGGATCTGGATGACACAGGCATAGGATACACACCGGAATAGGACATAGGCACACTATACACTACTTAACACTAGGAAATGCACTTGACGTCAATTTGGTAAACGGGGATGTTTACACAATGCGGAAGCGGCGGCGCGTTCGTATAGACTGTAGACGTAATTATGTAGGCATTTTACTATCTCCGAGTTCGCTTTGCGCTCTGTGTTCATGAACACTGTATTTTATTGGACAATTAGATCAAAAATTAAGGTCATGGTTTTTTTACATATTTGGGACGAGAATCGAATACTGACCACCCTCCTTCAATAAGTCCGTCGTTCAAATTTACATACTGTATATATATCACCTTGACCTTGACCTTCACCTTCACCTTCACCTTCACTCACCTTCACCTTTGCTCTCACTCTCACCTTCACACTCACCCTCACCTTCACACTCACCCTCACCTTCACCTTCACCTTCACCTTCACCTTCACCTTCACCTTCACCTTCACCTTCACCTTCACCTTCACCTTCACCTTCACCTTCACCTTCACCTTCACCTTCACCTTCACCTTCACCTTCACCTTCACCTTCACCTTCACCTTCACCTTCACCTTCACCTTCACCTTCACCTTCACCTTCACCTTCACCTTCACCTTCACCTTCACCTTCACCTTCACCTTTACCTCCCCCTTCACTTTCACCTCCGCCTTCACCTTCACCTTTACCTTCACCTACACCTTCACCGTCACACTCACCCTCACACTTACCCTCACCTTCACACTCGCCTTCACCTTCACCTTCACCTTCACCTTCACCTTCAACTTCACCTTCACACTCTCCTTCACCTTCACCTTCACCTTCACCTTCACCTTCACCTTCACCTTCACCTTCACCTTCACCTTCACCTTCACCTTCACCTTCACCTTCACCTTCATCTTCATTTGTTTTTATCTTTATCTTTATCAAGTATAGTTTCTTTACCAGAATAAAACGTAGCCGGTTTGTTATTACTGACCATAATCTACTTATTTTTTTTAGAATGCATTCAGTACTTTTGACGTGTAAGTAGACCAGCGAGTAACAAAGATCCATCCATACTTACAACTAAACGTTTATGATATTAGTAGGGTAAAGTAAGTATGTACTAACAGAAGCTATGCTGAACGAGACCAATCCAGGGGAACCTCCCCATGTCCGCCACTGTGCCTTCAGGTACAGATTGTAGAGCATCGGCAGAGCAGCGCAGCCGCTCCCACAACACGCCAACACTGAGTTCTACTGAAAATTATATCACGAGAGAATTCGAGAAGCAATAATACATATATTTGGACCTAAACTCATGACAAGGTGTCGAGACATTAAGTCGCCCGCTTCTCAAATTCGGAAAAAGTCTTACCAAAATGACTTTTTCCGAGTTGAACTGGTTGCAAACTGACACTATAGCCTATCTTCAGAGCCAGTTTAAGTTGGGTCAACTTAAACTGGCACTGAAGCGGTTCGTTCAAAAGACCACTATGAACTTGCACGGTTCTCTCACATTATGTTATTTTAACATTGTCTGGACTTAAAGAGACTGACCTCTGAGTTTGTGTCGGCATTTCTTCTCAGAGTAGTCAGATAGGAAATGCCGATCTTCTAGTTTTTTACATATACATAGTTTGAAGTGTAAAAGTGCCGGTTTATGGCCTATTTGCAAAAATAAGTTCATTGTTTCATTGTGTCATTGTTTCATTGATGTAAAGTGGTCCACAAAAAGGCTTTTCTGGCAAAATTCTAGGTGTGTCAGTGAATCTTGTTCGTATTATATTATTACTACACATTAATAAATCTAAATCTTCGCCATTGAAACGTTTTTTGTTTCAAAATAACAGAAGTTTAAATGATAGACGTGGTGTTAATTAAAATTATTGGATGGAAGCGAATTTGTTTTGAATTTTTGACCAACCACTTTTGTTAGTGACTGTATCTATACATATTTAATACGACCTTGTCTTCAGTCTACGGCTTGCTGGAGAGCGGATTTGATTCAGAAGCCTCCATGACCTCTCATCGTGATTACGAAAAGCTCAGCATATGGAAGTGGGTTTACCTTTTATTAATTACTTATATCAATATCACATAGGTATTGGGTAAGTCATCATTATCATCAGCCGTTAAGTGCCCACTGCTGAGCAAAGGCTTTTTTTCTTATTCGGAGAAGTTTAAGCATTAATCACCAGATTTAATAATCAAAAATTACAAGTCCAGGCTTACTCGTGATGTCTTCTTCCTTCGCCGTATGCCAATGATGGCTCTCTAAATAATCATAGAAAGTTCACATACCTCGGAAAAAGCCACATTGGTACTTGCCAGGTTTCGAACCCGCAAAATCATACATGGCAAGGCTACTCAAGTCTCAACAGTCTTCACCTCCGGGTCACCACGGATTACTTAACTTACTTTAAATTACGGTTAGATAAATATCTAGTAGTAACTTACTTCGAATATTTAGTAGTAATACGATTGGAACGCACTGAAAACCCCTCATGATGTATTCTTTTAAACTGGTAATTTATTATTAATAATTTCACACCTCGACACCAAACATTTTCAGGCACCCTTACAACTGAAACTGATACCTTTTGAATTCCCAATGAATTAGATAGTGAATGTTTACGAAACTTACAACTGTTTGTATGGTAACACAATTTTTCCCATCACTACTATTTCAAGTCTGTTATTTGTTTTCATGTTATTTTCTGTATCCACACGCATTGTGGTACTTTGTTTTTCCGTAGTGGCCTATTGTATTACACAGGAAGAAATAGCATTTCAGAATATTGAAGAATATTCTGCTTTTTGGTGGGAAATAAAGAAAGCAAGGAAATTTGGATAGTGAATTGTTACATACGAGGGGCGACGGGTTAGGTACTAACAATGTGTGTGTGTGTGTGTGTGTGTGTGTGTGTGTGTGTGTGTGTATTAAAACAATAATTAGAATAAATATATTTATTTGAATTCGTATAGTATATTTTTGATAGTTCTTAAAAGCTTCAAAGCTTCACATGCATCGCAAAATTGCAAAAAACCAATAATTCTTAAAATTAGAAAGAGTAGAAGCCTTCTTGGAATATTTAATAACGATCGCTATTAATATTATACTAGCTTCTCTGGCGCGGTTTCACTCGTTGCTAGGCTCCAATTAATCATAGCATGATGTTTTAAAGCCTATCGCGCTCAGGAACATTTTAGCTATCTATCAGTGAAAGAATTTTGGCAATCCGACCAGTGGTTCCAAAGATTACCCCCTACATACAAACTTACAAATATACAAACTTACAAATTTTACCTCTTTATAATATTAGAATAGATTATTCATCATTAATCAAGTTATCTACATACTTACCTACTTACCTGCTTATCCTTAAAAATATAAACGAGTAAACGAAACATTTTACCAGCTTTAAAAATTACTTAAAACCAAAGATAATTTTGTAAAGTATAGATTAAAATAATAGATTGTACACTAATAAAGGACAAAATATGTCATAAAAAAAATATGAATGAATGTCAAAACTGACAAATGAAATTGAAATTGACATTAGTATTTTCTAACGAATGAGATAAGCGACAAAGTTTTGTGAATCACAATATTTACATAAAATAATGCGCAAATTTAAATAAAATTGCTCGTATTGACAGTTTCTAATGTGATTTAACGGAGTTCTAGGGGATTTGTTTTGATTATAAAATATAACCTAGCAAATGTTGATAAGATGCAGGTGGTAGCAAAAGTTCGTCTTTTTAGGAATCCTTACACAATATTTTTTATAAGTGAGGACCTGAGTATCTTGCCTGATGAAGAATACTACAAGTCTATTGGCGTGAAGATAGGAGACTGCTGTGAACTAGAAATAGATGGTGAAGATGAAGTTAAAAAGAAACTGAAACTCAGAACGAACGCGTTATTTCTTCAGCCTTTTGTGAAGGAATGTGTGAACTCTGATGTGTATAGAGCTAATGTGGTGTCACATTTGAACCGGCTGGGTGGATATCCTGCTTGTGGAACAGTGTTTTTGAAATTGATTCTGGAACCTCCAGATATAGAGATAATTGATTATGCTTGGTTAGTATGCATATGTCGCCACAGACTTAATAGAGTTAGGCTTACGCATAAACCATTTAGCAGAAATTACCATTATGACTATGAATTCTACTAGAGCAATGCATCTCTGCACTGAACAGAGTGACTGGCAGAAACGGTCAGTAGGTAGCCTTACGGGTTTTAGGATTGCAGAAATTGCTTTTTTGACCTTGATTTGCAATATCATTCATTAATTCATCAATTGTATGTAAAGAATTTAATAAACCTTACTAAGTTACAACAATGTGCATCTTTATATTTCAGGAATGAAAGAATACTCCGTTTGATTTGGACAAGAGTTGAAATCGAGAATGCCTTTTCATGGTTGTCAACATTGGGAGGTGCCTACTCAGCTCTTGGGGACTATTTTGATCATTGTGTAAGTACCAAACAGTTGCATTTACCAACATACAATGTCACATACACACGGTGTCAACTGTACAGTCAATCATGAAGATAACATCCTGCCATAAATACTCATAAAATAAAATTTGCTAAGATGGATTTTTTTTTATTTTAGGCAGAGGAAGCAGGCAGAATATCACTCAGGCAATATAAGCTCTCCATAATGCTTGGTGATGAAGGTTTAGCAGCAAGGAGTCGTCTCTACTCCGCACTGTCACAAGCCCAAAAAGGCAACCTACACATATCTAGGAACATTGTACGAAGAGTTGCACAGTTTGCAAGAGAAACGCAAGACCATCGGTTGATACGTATGTGCCAAGGTATTTGGGCTAAGCTCAAATACTTGAGATCTTTAAAATATGAGTCCTTGACCGCAAAAGACAAAGACTGTCACAATAAAAATGGGAAAGTGCAAAATGCTGTTACAAATTGAACCTTACACAAGAGGCATAGTGGTGAAAACTTATCTCTATGCATAATTTCAATCATGGGTCCTGTTTATGTATCCCTGATCAGCAATATGTAAGTGCATTATTTTTATCTAATAGTCTATGTAATGTGATTTATTATATTTTGTTCCATTTATTATTGTGTTGAATTTATACTGCCAATGATGTAATTGAAATAATGTTTTATTGCTGTGTGATTTGGTTCCATTTTCCAGTGACTGTGCAATTTTAATAAAGTATGTGCAATTGCAAGGTTCAATATTTTATTTTGTATTTAATATGGGATTGCAGTAGGGTAAAAATTACTTTGAGATGGTTGAGTGTGTCAAATATATATTGAAAATTCTATAAGGATGTATAACTAAGAAAGCTGTAATTTAACTCTGTGTATTAACTTTATTAACGGCTCAAGTTCTTCCTAGTCCCCATTGGAATCTTCTCATTTTTTCCTAACATGTGGTGTTGCAGTTCTGGTCAAACTGTTAGAATTTAAAATATCAACTGAACTTATTAAAAAGCAGTAGGCAGGGCACGGTCTTACATGTTGAGGTTACATATATGTATACAACAATGCACCAGGTCAGTTACCTTTTATAATCTACTACATATTAACGATTAATAAAGGCCGGCAACGCGCCTGAGACTCTTTTGGTGTTGCATATGTCCATGGGCGGCGCTGACCACTTCACAGCAGGTGACCAGTCGGCTTGTTTGCCTCGAATACCACAAAAAATAGTTTTTCATATATACTTAATATCTTAGATTAAACAATTGTTATACCATGGAAATAGTACAGTAGGAAGTTTAAGCTTGTTAGTTTTCAAATTTTACGCTCACCAAGCGGCGCTAGTTGTGAATAAAATATTATCAAGCTAATATTACTCAAATTAGTGTCTCCAGTGACGTGAAAATCCTCTTTTTATTGTCGTCAAGAATCCCATTAAAAAGTTGTAAGTATACAACCAATCTGATATCTTATGCCACACATAATAAAATACCCAATCCAGCACTACTATTTTAGCCGCTTAGGCTTAGTCATATTTTGACGTACGTAGGTATTTTCATTAGTATCATATTGGATAAGGGACCTCTTACCTGATCGGATTGAGCTTATAAATGTACAAGGTTTGTATGAGGTTGTAAAACGGCATAATGTCTTTTGAGACCAGGGAATAGACTGAGAAAAATCAATTTTGTACACATACAAAATTCATTTTCGATTGATGTTTACCTGTGGGTAAAGAGAAGGAATTTCCTTTTGAAGGAAATGAAGAATGTAGGTATTTAATAACACTGATACGAAATGATTTTTTAATTTGTTACATGATATTTATATGATGTACTGTCTTATTCATTTATTTTGTTAAAAATATAAAATATATAATACCTATATCTGGCATAAGTTCCAAGTACAATTGACAAGTTTTAACCATGACTGACTTTAAGTTGGTATCTATTAATGATGATGAAGGTATATACCTACTAATGTTTTTTTTAACTCATGAAAATAAAACTATGGTAAATACAGGAAAGAAAGACGAATTATAAATACTTAACAAACTTAAGAGTTTATGAAATGGTTTATGATGAGTCATAATTTGAATTTGTCAATTTTACATTGATGATGGAATCAGAATGTAGCTGATGACACCCAGGGCTACCTAATTGTTAATTTATTGAATGCCTATGGCTCATTCGATATGTATATTTCTCCTAGTGACGAAAACATATTAGTTGCTAGTTATGATTTTTTGTCATCACTACATACTTATACTTTTATAGTATAAAACAAGTCGCTTTTTTTTGTCCCTATCTATGCTAAAATTTGTAGAACTACGCAACTTATTTTGATGCGGATTTTTTAAAGATGGTTGAAAAAGAAGGTTTATATATTATAACATCCATTATATAGTGGAGAAATTTAGTAGGTACACATAATACCCGTGCGAAGCCGGGGCAGGTCGCTAGTAAGGCCATAAAGTCGCTTAAAACAGTTTTGTAAAATGTACTTCATTTTATTATAATTTGAAGTATTGTATTGTTTTGTATAGTACATAAATCGTATTTGTGGATATTTCCTTTGTTAATTTTGTTGGTACTGTTAATAAATTTTATTTATTATACCTATTGTGTATTTTTTATACAATTAACAGCTGGTCTGTGACCGTGGCTAGCCACCTTACCTTTATGCATATTTATATTATTATATTCACACATAAAGTCCGAAGGCACATGAAATATGTTTCAATGAAACATAAATTGGATGAAGGAAATAAATAACAATAAAGAAAACAATCTGTTCGGAATGTCTGGAACTAGTTGTTGTGATTTGTATGAAACTTTTTTGATATACAGCAATTAAACTTGGGTAACATCTAATGTAGCTATAGCTTGTTCAAAAGATGGATGGATAGGTCACTATTCACTAGTCATCGTGGTAGCCCGGATTTTAGTTAAGGCGCCTGCTTTTCATACATGAGGGTGCGGGTTCGAAACCTGGCAAGTACCAATGTAATTTTTTCCGAGTTATTAGTCGTATGTACTTTCTAAGATTATTTAGACACCACTGACAAACGGTGAAGGAAAACATTGTGAGGAAACCTAGACTTATAATTTCTTATTATACGTTTGAAATCGCCAATCCGCCTTGAGCGAGCGTGGTGATTAATGCTCAAACCACGAGAAAAGGCTTTTGCTCAGCAGTGGGCAATTATGGGCTGATGATGATGATGAAGTCACTATTCTACGATGACTGTGGGACAAAGTTTATTATTATTATTGAGATATAATTTTTGTATAGTCATTAGGTATCTACAGAATATTAGATTACCTATGATAAGTTACAAATCTTCAAGGCTTTTTTATGTAACATGAAATTTACGTGTCATGAATTCAGAATGTTTGAATAACAAATTAGTACATGATATCATGATATGAACTGTTAACATAATAATATTTATGTATGACTTGGATCCTATAATAACCCAACACTATTTCCTAGTCAGTGACTACCTAAGTACTGTGTCATGCGTGGTGTCATGTTTCGGATCGACGTCACGTATAGAAACGATTTTTATTAAATCACCTTGTAAATTCTCCCGCCCTAGGTGAAGCGATTTGGAGTTTCACTCTAAATTGACTAAAAACCACCCGCAATGTCTGAGCCCGTGAGATATGAAAACGAAATGCTTTTGGTGCATAACAACACGCCACGACACGTTGCCGTCGGAAATCTCACAAAGATGTGAAGGATACTTGATCAATACAAGTATTTGTATTCGTGATTTAGTGAGAATACCTGGACTTATAATTTGTTATTATAAGTTTGAAATCCCTAATCCGCCTTGAGCAAGCGTGGTGATTAACCCGTGGTAACCCGATCACCGATAAACGCGAGATACAATCCCCCTTATTACAAAACAAGATTTATCTTTAGTCCAGGTTTAAACCATTGAGTCGGGTTTTGAATTTTGAATCTTATTGTCATCTACTTTCAATTCGAAATACAAAAACTGGCTCAATGGTTTAGTCCTAAAGTAAAAAGTTGTTTTGTAATAAGGCCGAATGTGTTTTCTATTTTTTCTCCATATAAGATGATGTCTTTGCTCAGCAGTAAGCTCTTATAGGCTGATGATGACAATGACGATGTTGATTTGAGTTCCAGGATTTTTTTAAACTAGGTTCGATACGAGTCTTCAATAAAACAAAAAAAAACTGCATTTCAAACATTTATTTATGAAATATTGATATTCTGTTCGCGACTAAATTGTTTATGATGAAATCATAACAAAAAAGCCGTTTAAGAATGCAAATATGGCAATATAAAAATAAAAAAATTTAAATACTGTCTACAAAAAATAGCAACATGGTTTTGGTAACAAACTGAACACAATTGTAATATAAAAATGGTATATGTATAAATATTAATTAATTCCATCTCCATTTTATAATTTTAATTGTCTGTTGTACTAACATATTTTCTATTTAACATTATTTATTAACTATTAACGGCTTACCTATACCTACGAGTTTAGGTAAGGAACTCGAATATTGCCTATCGGGTTAGATGGTTAACTAAAAGGTAAATCACAATCTTGTGTGTCTTTTTATATCAAAGAAGTCGTATAAATTACATAGAAAGATAATTTAAATTTAGTTTATTAATTTTTTAAACTTTTAGATAAAAATACATGCCAAGATTGTTTACATTTAGTTAATTAAACTGATAGACCGTAGTTGTGACACTGTACTGTGGCTTGAAACTTCCTGAGTTCCTCGCCTAAGGGTTACACAAGAACATTATTTATTATCTATATTGAGTTACACTATCGGTATTGCCATAAGTGAAAAGAGCTCCAGGCTCGCTTATAAAGCAAATCAGTCAACGTTTATGGCAAAGGAGTTTTGAAGCATCCTAAACAATCTGAGTATTAGAGATTCTTTATTTTCTAAGTGTACATTGTTTGAGATAAGCACCTTTTATTTAATTATTGCTATAGTTATCTCGATATTTTTGGTAAGGCAACAATACTATTTATTATATTTGTCGTTAAAAATGGAGATGGATTACAATTCAGCTAGTTAATAACATTGGCCTAAGTTAAAATAATGTTTATGTTGGGAATTTATATTTAAGTATATAAGCATGATAAATTCACACTGCGATATAAAATCATTTATTGCTTCCGTAGAAAAATGTCTAAACTACAGATGTTAGGTCTCTATAAGTAAAAAATAGTTAAACCTGTGAACATTACGTGTATTAGAAAACAGTTTTTTCTTAAGAGGGATATATACCGGTGCCGAATTTTATAAAAAAATATTTCGAATGCCTGTGACGTAACGTTGACGTAAATTTTACAAGCTGTGATACAAATGATTGGACCGTTCCTCGCATTAATTTTGAAATTCGTTAGACGTAATTTATGCACGCTCTCTAAAAAGACTCCTTGATGGAATATATTGAGGTGTGTGACTTTAAGTCTTGTGCTATTTGCAAGTCCCATGTGATAGAAGGCAGGTTATAAGGACAGACGTACTTACCGTATTCCGTCAGTGGTCATGGTTATAAAGTTAACTTTAAAAACGTTATATGACACTATAACGCAATATTCACAGGTAAGACCAAATCGATTATGAACTGGCAATCCTTGAAATCTAAAATAATAATAGCCTTAATATTTAATACCTACTACTAAAATCTTGAACACCGTTTAAACTAATTAAGCAATTTCATTTAAAAACATTCGTGGCAGAATTGACTTCAATCAACTTGTAACTTCAGTCTGAAGCAGATTTGCTTCATCCTGTAATTAAGATAGCAAGAGTTGCCAGTTCAGTCGACACATCTATCTATAGTTGGACGTAACACTTGCCACAGATTCTATTCTTTGGAACAGCAGGGG